GGGGGCGAGCCACCTCCCCATGGCCACCTCCCCCCGCCCCAGGTGTCCCCACACCAAGGGACCCAACACTGGGTGTCCCCAAACTGGGTGTCCCCACCCCAGGTGTCCCCTTTCCAGGTGTCCCCAAACTGGGTGTCCCCACCCCAGGTGTCCCCACCCCAGGTGTCCTCATGCCGAACATCTCCATACTAAATGTCCCCTCGCTGTACGTCCCCATACAAGGTGTCCCCTTTACCAAACGTCCCCTTGCCAGGTGTCCCCATGCCAAGCAGCTCCATACCAAGTGTCCCCTTGACGCGCGTCCCCATACCAGGTGTCCCCTTACCAAGCATCTCTACGCCAAGTGTCCCCACCCCAGGTGTCCCCTTGCCAAACATCTCCATACCAAGTGACCCCACGCCAGATGTCCCCTTGCCAGATGTCCCCATGCCAAGCACCTCCATACCAAATGTCTCCAGGTGTCCCCATGCCAAGCAGAGCTCCACAGGGTTCTAGGTCTCCGTCAACACCCCCCCCCGTGGGTCCTCAGGCCAGGGGACAGGGATGTCACCTGGTGGTGAGCAATGCTGGTGGGAGAGGGTGGTGGCCCTGTTGGGGAGCAGGCCAGGCTGGAACTGGGGACACAGGTAGGGGACACAGTGGGTACAGGATGGGCACAGGACCAGGAGACATGGTGCCCCTCACTGTCTTATCTCTGGGGACTTCACAGGACAACACACAGGAGAAGGTGTGATGGTGTTTAATGTGCTGCTGTGGGGTGGGGATGGGGACACGGGTGAGGTGGGACAGGGACACGGGGGAGGTGGGACAGGGACAGGGCTGTGGGACAACCTGAGCCAGGTGTGATGGGGCTGGGGGCCATTGGGATGGGCATCATGGGATGGGGATGGTGGCCTTTGGGCTGGGGATGGCCACACTCCTGTCTCCCTGCCTCAGTTTCCCCAGGAGAGCTCGTCTCAGCTGGGGACAGAGAGGCAGGGAGGGAGGTGACATCCCCGGCCACCCGAGGTGACACCAAACCCCTTGTCTAGGGATCCACCAGGCGCTGCCTGTCCCCCTTGGGCTCACAGCCCGTGTCCCCAGCCCGGCTGACGGCGGCCACCTCCTGTCCCCGGCGGTGCGGGGGGCTGGCACAGAGGGTGTCCTGGGTGGCAGTGAGCTGTGGGGACATCCGTCGCAGCAGCACCAGGAGCTGGCACTCGCAGGCCCAGGGGTTCCCCGAGATGTCGAGGTCCAACCTGGGGACGGGGGGCAGCTCCAGCCCCCGCAGCCGGTTGCCCGCCAGGTCGAGGACAAGGAGATGGCGCAGGGGGAGGAAGATGTCGGTGGGCAGCGCCTGCAGCTCGTTATCCTGGAGGAAGAGGAGGCGCAGGGCGGGCACGGGCGCGAAGGTGGTGGGTGCCAACGTGCCCAGATGGTTCCCCTCCAGGTCAAGCCGCTCCAGTGCCCCCAACCCGGTCAGCGCCTCCGGTGCCAGGGTTGCCAACTTGTTGTGGGACAAATCCAGGCTACGGAGGGAGCTCAAGGGGTGGAAGACCCCAGGTGGCACCTCCACCAAGGCGTTGGCAGCCAGGTCGAGCCACTGAAGCTGGGGAAGATGCTGGAACCAGGCGGGCAGCAGCGCCCGCAGCCGGTTCCCCCGCAGCACCAAGTGCTGGAGGTGGGTGGTGGCGTTGAAGATGCCATGGGGGAGGTCTGCCAGGAGGTTGTCCGTCAGGTCGAGGACACGCAGGGTGGGCACGGGGTGCAGGAGGGGCTCGGGGAGGGTGGCGAGGCGGTTGGAGGAGAGGTGGAGCTCCTCGAGCAAGGGGAGCCCTTCCAGGGCGGTGGGGAGGAGGGTGGTCACCGCCGTGAACTCCACCGAGATGGCCAGGGTGGTGGGGGGCAGCCCCGTGGGGAAGGTGCTGAGGGTGGGCTCGGTGCAGACGAAACGGGTGGCGTTGGGTTGGGGGGAGCACGGGGTGGTGGGACCCGGTGCCAGCAGCAGGAGCAGGAGCAGGAGCAGGATCCGGGGTGGTGACACCGCGGCGCAGGGCTGCGGGCGAGCGGCCATCGTCACGCCAGGGTTGTGCAAGCCCTGCCACCGCCGTCCCCCTGCCACCCCGGGGTGGGCAGG